CGGCCCGAGCGCTGTTGCTGATCAAGTGCGATATCAAGTGTGCTTGGCACGCGCGGGCGCGCGGGCACGGCCCGAGCTTGCTCATTGTTTTTGTTTAAGATTTGCGAGCGCCCGATTCACGCGGTCAGCGCTTGGCGCCCATCCAGACTGTTCGCGGCCGAACCCAGGCGTGCATTTCGGCGCCCAGCCCATTTGCGCGGCGACCCAGGACCTCCGACGGCGCCGCCGACACCGCCCGACGACCACCTCCCGACCACCTCCCGACCACCTCCCGACCACCTCCCGACCACCTCCCGACCACCTCCCGACCGCCCGCGGCCGCCCCCCCGACCACCTCCCGACGACCTCCCGACGACCTCCCGACGACCTCCCGACGACCTCCCGACCACCTCCCGACCACCTCCCGACCTCTGGGGCGCCCCGACGACCTCCCGACGACCTCCCGACGACCTCCCGACGACCTCCCGACGACCTCCCGACCACCTCCCGACGACCCCTCCGACCACCTCCCGACGACCATTCCGTTTGCGGAGGTTTGGGCGGCGAACGTGAACCTCCGCCGCGGGCTGGTGAGCCAAACGCGATCGATGTCGGTCGTCGATTTCCAGAGCCCTCCCAGGGCGTCGATCTATGACTGCGGGTGGGCCAGCCCTGGCCTCGGGACCGCTGTCGATCCTGGTGCGCGCCCCTGGTGCCAGTAGTTCCCCCAAGGGCTCGGGATTTTGCAAGGTACCCCCCCCCGCCCCCCACGCGCGCGGGCTCGGAATTCTGCGCAGTGCACCAGCAGCTGGGCTCGGTTTTTGCAAAGTACCCCCCCCCCCTCCTCCGCGGGCTCGGATTTTTGCAATGTACCCCCACGCCCCACCGCGGGCTCGGGATGTTTGCAAGGCCCCCGCCAGCCGATTCCCGCTGCGCCCGCGCCCCCCACGTCATCTTGGGTCTTGGGGTTCGCGCGGTATCGCGCCCTCTCCCGTTCGTTGCGAGGCGGCGCACCGCGGGGCGCAGTGTTTGGGCGGAGCGCAGGCGGGGCGCGGGGCAGGAGATGGCGGGGGGGGGGGCTCGGCGCGGGCTTCTGGCAGAGAGGGATCGCCCGCGACGCCGATGGCACCGCGGGAGGAGACATGCGGGGCCCGTAGTCTCACGGGCCCCTCAATCCACAGAGGCGCATCCATGCCCCGCAGACCCCGATGACCCCGCGGGCTCCACGGCCCCCGTCGTCGCGCGTCGCAGGCCGCACAGTTACCCTGGGCCTCGCAGGGCCCGCTGGCCCCGCCAGGTTTCGCAAGGCAGGCACCGCGGGTTCCAACGGCCCCACTGGCCCACTGGCGTCGCAGGTCTCGCACGCCCCACTTGCCCCATCTGCCCAAGTAGCCCCGCAGGTCTCGCAGCCTCGCAGGTTCCAGAACCAGCGGGCCCCACAACCCCAGCAGGCGTTGCATGCCCCACTGGACCCAAAGGGGCCGACATGCCCCGCGATGCTACACTGCGGGGCCCGCGGGCCCCAGCGGGCGAGCGAGCGCCTGGGCCGCGTCGCGCTGCGATCGCGCGGCGCTGAGCAAACGCCGACGATTCGGCATGGCCAGCGCTTGCAAACGCGCGCCCGCAGAAGCATGTGGCCCGCGGCTCGGGTCGCCAAGGATGTTGGGTGGGTGGGTGGGTGGGTGGTGGCGGGGGCCTCGGCGGGCGGGGAAGAGCGCCGCGCCGCGCGCGAGGCGCGTCGCGGCGACGGGCCTGGGGCGCTGATCTCGCCCAGTCGGCAGCGCGCCATGTCTGGCAACGCGCAGCGCGCCATCAGTGCCATCGCACGCGATGTCCGCGCGCGCGGGCGCGCGGCAACATGGCGTGGCCGCGCTCGGGCAGCAGCCTGGCGCGGGCGACGCCCGCCGAGGGCGGCGCAGGCATGCAGCCCATTGCGAAGTGCAGATGCGATGCAGCGCGAAGCTGGGCAGGCTCTGCCGCGTCCATGGCGCGGGGCGATTGCGCGGCGCCCCTGTGCGAGAGTATCGGCGTCGGTTGAATGCCAGCGCGGCGCGCGAGGCGCGCGGTGGTGCCCCGTTCGGCGCGGCAGCCGCCGCGGCGCCCGCGCATATGGTCATCGGAACAGTCGATATGACCATCCAAAAAGTACATCGGGCCAGCCAAACAAGTTGATACTAGCTTCTCAGCCAGTATATAGGACCCTCCAACATTAGATATGAACCTTCCGACAAACTGATCGGGCCTTCACAAGAACATATAGCACCGTCCCAAAATAGATAGGACCCTCACAACAAGATGATAATTCGCCCAACACAAGTATGCAGGACTCTCCCATCCAGTACGTAGGGCCCGCCCAGCAGGTAAACATGACCATCGCCAGCGTGAGTATGAACCTTCCAAAAGTAGATAGAACACTTCCATGCTGCCATATGACCCTCCCAAAGTAGATAGGATCCTCCCAGCGGTATATCGGACCCCCCCAACGTGGGGCCCCCGCAGCAAGTAGGTAGGACCGCCCCACCGAGGATATCGGACCTTCCCAGCAAGTGTGTAATACGACCCCCCCAACAATTAGATAGCACCCTCACCAAAGTAGGCATGGCCATCCGAGCAAGTATTGGGGCCCTCCTAACGAGCAGGTGGAGCCCTCACAACAAGTAAACAGACCTGCCCAACAATTAAACAACACCCCCCAACAACTATATAGGACCCTCGAAGCAATTAGGCGAGGCCTTCCCAACAAGTAGACGCAACACTTGCAAAAGTAGGTAGGACCTTCCTAAAAAGGAGATAGGACCCTCCTTCAAGTAGACCAGACTGTCCCCAAAGTAGATAGGACCCTCACAACAATTATGCAGGACCCCCTCCCACAAGTAGATTGGACCCACTCCAAAAGTATATAGGACACCCCCAAACGTAGGCAGGCCCTTCCCACACGTAGATAGGACACCGCCAAAAGCATATATGACCCTCCCAACATAGATATGACCCTCCCACCAAGTAGCTCTGACCTTCCCAAAAGTAGATAGGACCCTCCCATATGCAGATAGGACCCTCCCAGCAAGTAGATGGGACCATCCGAACAAGTAGATAGGACCCTCCCAAGGCGTATATAGGACCCGCCCAACAAGTAGACGGGGCCCTCCTAACAAGAATGTGACCTTCCCAAACAGATAATCTTCCCACAAGTAGAGAGGACCTCCCGAATAAAGGAGATAGGGCCCTTCCACCTGTAGATAGGACTTTCCCAACGGTACATAGGACCCTCCCAACAAATAGACAGGGCCCTCCCAACAAGTAGATAGGACCCTCTCAAAGGCACATCGGACCCAACCCAAAGTAGGTAGTACCTTCCCGCAAGTAGATAGGACCTTCCCCAAAAGTAGATAAGACCCTCCCAAAGTAGGTAGGGCCCTCTCAGCAAGTAGATAGGGCCCTCCCAAAAGCAGACAGACCATGCCAAGAAGTGTATAGGACCCTCCCATCAAGTAGATAGGACCCTCCCAGAAGTAGATAGGACCCGCACCAAATCAGATAGGCCCCTCCCAAAGTATATAGGACCCCCCATCGCAAGTAGATAGGACCCTCCCAAAAGTACATGTGCCCCCCCAAACAAGTAGACAGGACCGTCCCCAAAGTAGATAAAGCCCTTCCAAAAAGTAGATATGACCATCCCATTAGTAGATAGGACACTCCCAAAAGTACAAAAAATCCTCACCAAAGTAGGTAGGACCCTCCCAAAAAGTCAATAGGAGCCTCTCACAAGTAGGTAGGGCCTTCCTATCAAGTAGATATGACGCTTCGCGAATCATTCGTTTCTGGAAACCCCCATGCGTCGGCAACGCAAGCGACCAACAGCAATATGTGGACCTTATCAAAGCAAGCGTCATAAACATCTGTAGCCAGACAGCAGCGATATGGAGACCCCCATCGGGGCCAATTTCTGGGAGGACGGGAGTTTCGAGCTCTGCCGACGAGCGGTCGCGAGCGAATGCCCACTTCAGCAGATGCCCTCCTGGGCAGCACCGACGTGGTCTCTGGCCACCAGCCGACGGCGACCTTCGACCAAGGCCGCGGCCTCGCCAGCGTTTGCTCCTCTGTGCCAAGCCTTCTCTGGACCAGCGTCGAGGGCAACCTTGCGTGGTGGTGGCGTTTTCAGGTCGACCTTGGGCGTGTGGTTGCCTCGTCGCCACGTGCGGACGTCGGCTCTGGTCTGGCGTTCCGTTTGGGGGGTTTTCGGTCGGGGGCCCCATCTTCTTGATTTCTGTATTCAAAGTTCGGCTTCGCCTGTCCGCCGTTGGCGTCGAAGCATGAAAGCGCAGCATAACCATAAGTACTTCATATGGTTGCGTGGCTTGGTGCTCTTTCGGTGTATTTGTTTCTGGGGAGCGGCACCGCCGTCGAGGTATCCTGGGATCCCTGGGGCTCTTGCCGACAGGAAAGTGGACGCTCATGCAAGGGTCCAGGGTACCGTACCGAACAATCTTTATATAAAAAACAAAAAAAAACTAAACAACTAACAAATCAATGTTGACCTTGCCCGAGCGGCCGCGTGCCCCGAACCTCTGAACTTACCGGAGCGACCGTGGCCTTTGCAATCGATCGGGGTTGCAGTGGATCGTTCGGCAGACGCGCAGTTGTGGCGCGTTGGGCGTAGTAAGTAATTTCCCACACGGTCTCGCCTCAACACGCGGCCACGCCGCGTGATTCAATGGATGCGTCCGTGACCTTGCCTTCTTCTGAAGCCCTGGCATACCTCGAGGAGCATCTGGGATCCATGGCTGTGCGTTGTCTGTCCCGCGCTACCTACATGTACGATGAACGTGTCTGGCTCAGGCCAAACCCCGAAGCAACGACAGAGACCAACAGGGAAGGTCGTCGGCCCCATCGTCCCTCCGTCGTCGCCGCTTTGGTTCAGGGACTGAGTTGCAGTCCTCAATTCATCACTTCTGTTCTGGCCATTGCACTTCACTTGCGCGTGGCTGGCAGGGCGATGGCGTCCCGCAAGCGTGCTCCGAGAGGCGATGGTCCTGCTGACGAAGAGCCCGTGCCCAAGAAGGCCGCCCGCAGTGGTGGGCATGGTCGCGGGCGTGGAAGGAAAGCCAGGGAGGCTGCTGATGCAGGCGGTGCCGACCAGGACATCGGCGGCCTCTTCCACCTCCCAGGCGGCTCGGCCCCCCCGACCATCGGTGAGATGCGAAACCCTGACCTGGGCGATGCCTTGCGCAAGCCTGGTGCGCCGTGCACGTGCCAGAGGTGCAAGGCTAAGTCTGTGCCCGAGACGGTGCCCCTCTCGGTCAATGCGTGCGACCAGTGCTATTCCCCCATGCCGCACTTTCACGCCCTGGGCGTGAGCTTCGTCCAGGTTTGCGGCCAGTGCAGCGCTGACAAAGAGTTCGACGAGACCTTCGAGAAGCTGATCAAGGTGGCTGACACGGACCCCGACGAGAGGCCTTTCCCGACGCAGAGCATCATTGCGCACAAGAGGTTGGGCTACACAGTCATTGCGAACTTCACTGCCAAGAAGGAGAGCGACATGATGTCCACCGACGCGAAGGGCCTGGACCTCGAGGCTCTGGGCGAGAAGACGGGCACCATCCCGAGTCCGTTCACTGGGGGGCAGATGAACGACATGGTCATCACTAAAGACGACAGCGGGCCCTTCTTGCAGGTTAAGATGTGGTGCAAGGTGGAGCTGGAAGACCAGATCGTCAACATGAGTCCTCAGAAGCGGGTGGCGGCAAATCAGCCTGCGACGATGTTCGACAAAGTCCGCAAGCTCCTCACCGAGTCCCTGCCCGTGAGCCTTCGCGGGGACAAGTTCCCCCCGACCCTGGAGTTCTTGAAGAAGAAGGCCCTGGGTATGACTGCCCCTGGAGACGACGGTGTGGGCGCCAAAGGCAGCGGGCAGCCGCGCGGAGATCAAGATGGTGTCTCTGCAGAGCCTCCTGCTGGTAGCCGTGGACTCTTGGAGGCCAATGCCGCGTCTGGCCAAGGTGCGGCCTCGCCTGCTGCGACGGGCGCGCGGGCCCCCGACGCAGGTGCAAGCTCTGTGCATCCTGACGACGCCGCCGCAGAAGCTCCTCCGTTACTGGGCATGCACGCGGGATCGCCTGAGCTTCTGAGGCAGGCGCCAGGGGGGGCGAGGTCAGGAGGATCGATGACTGAGTTGTACCAGAGCCCCTGCGACACCGAGAGCGTGGTGAGCGATGGCACCGCGACCACAGCGGGCGGCAACAAGAGGTATAAGCGGAACCTCACGGACCAGGAGAAGGCGATCGACCTCATCAACCGATTGGATGCTGGCCAGGTTCTCCAGGGTAAGTACAACGGCTCCGACGTCTATGCAGCAACGCGTTTCGAGGACTCGGCGAAGGTCGACTCTTGCATCTCGAACGTTCGGCGCGCCAGGCTCAAGTACGAGCAAGCATACAAGATTGTGAACCCAGGATCCGTGGAAAAGGGCGTCTTGTTCAAGGCCCTGTGTGAGCTCAAGAAGAAGGGGATGGTATTCCCGCCAGCCTACGCGGTGAAGCTGGTCCAACTACGAGTCAAGAGCGCCAGCGTCACGGAGGACATCGCTGATGCGATCATGCCTTTCAGCATTGATGGCCTAGAGGATTTCGCTGACGATTTGGATGGCGACGGCGGCGGCTCCAACTTCGATTGCCTGAACCCTCGCCTGCGGGATATCCCTACACCTGAGCCAGCTGCCTTCGTCGCCAGGTTTCGGGCGGTGGCCTCGGAGTACGTCGTGATGCCCTTGGTCAAGCAAGGCCAGTCGGGGAGGTATCTCAATGCGAGGCTAGTCGACGATATGGAACACATCTTGGAAGACGCGACCGTCGACAAGTATGCAGGCACGCCACAGGATTACGACATTCTCAAGAACTGTGCCCTGGAGTTGATTACCATCCTGCGCCTTCTGGGGTCACTTGACGCGCCAGGGGTCGACAAGCTTGTGAACTTGGACAGCCTGATTGTGAAGAAGTTCTTGGATGTGAGTTTTGGACAAGTGCTGGCAGACCGCCAAGCAGGACACCGAGGACAGCAAGTTCTGGGCTCCAGCGCTGGCACTTTTTATGAGACACAGGGCGGACGAGTTCGACCTCGCTCCCAAGGTTGTCCACCTGATGAAAACGCTTGATGACATTCCGAGTGGGGACAAGCAGGAGTTCTTCAAGGGCAACGTGGCTGAGTTGACACGCATTGCGAAGCTGTGCAGGCCGACCGCTTGCGACGTGGCGTGGGCCAAGCTGCTGGATGCCATAAACACGTGGCTCCGTGCCCGCATCGCCGTCGAGGAGCTCGAAGTTAAGGAGATGGGCGACGTCGACCGCTTCATCGAGGAGCTGTGCAACTCGACTAGCTTTGAGGAGTGCTCGAGTCTGAAAGAAAGGATCGACGTGCTGCGCAGCATCTCCTTGGCAAAATACGAAGACATGAAGCAGGTCGACGGTTCCAAGCAAGCTGTGCTGGCTTTGCGGAGGTTCGCCTCTGCCCCGACCGTCGATAACACGAACGCTCTCAAGAAGACGACCTACCAGAGGCAGCTCCACTTCACCGACGCGGACCACATCGAGACAGTTCGCCATGCCATGGTAACGGTGAACACGGCTGCCATGGCGAGCATTAGCAAGTACTCAGAACAGGTCTCGGTATCTCCCGAGTGGGCCATGGACATCAAGCTTCACAAGGAGCAGCTCACCCTCATGAGCACCAGGGTCAAGACGTTCGTCGCCGACGAAGGGTGGCCAGACACATACAATACGGTGTTGGCGGGCCTCCTCTCCGACAAGCTGAACACGATCGCGATGGCCATCGATCTCCTCGCAGAGGGCGAGACCGCGGAGCAGCAGGTAGTCAGCGACAACGGCTTCGATGCATTCCAGGCCTTGCACGCGGTGTATCTGGAGAGCGGCCGCGAGCGCTGGAAGGAGAAACTGACGCTCGACGGTTCCGCTTCTTGGTCCGACGTCGGGGTCCAGACGAAGTACGCCGAGTTCTTCCTCATGGAGTCGACGCCCGCAGACCTCTTCGCCACCATCGGGAAGATGCTGGAGGACTTCAAGCGCGCGGGGATGGCCGAGGTGACGGCGCAGCTCGGCAAGATGGCGGACTCCGTGGACGCTCAGAAAGGATCGGGGGAGGCAGCGAATGTGCAATAACGGATGTGTTCCTCGTCGCCACCTTCATCCAGCTCAAGCTTTGGGCTGGATGGGGAAGGCGGGAGGGCTGCATTGGTTATGTGTATAGTCGCCCCCCCCCATCAGGAGGCATGACCGACGGCGCGAACTACAAGGGTGACCCAGCGTCGTTCGGGGAGCTGACCTGGGAGCAGATCCTCGAGAAGGCCGAGGGGGCCGTGCTCTCCGTCGCGCAGAGGGGTACGAGCAAGAGGTTGACGTCGCTGCGCACGAAGGCCATCGACAGCGTCACCGAGTACAAGAAGGAGGCACAGAAGCTGTTCGTCGATCTAGGCGCCGACGAGTTCTTCACTGCAGCGGTGCAGAGGATCGAGGAGGGCGCCCGCTGCATCGACACGACCCTCAGCGAGTGCAAGATCATGCACAACATCCACCGCGACAACAAGACGGGCCTTGCGCAGAGGCAGGCGCGCGTCGACGAGGAGCTGACCAAGGCGAGCGGCGCGCTGGCCGAGGGCGCCGTGAAGCTCGAGCTCCACGAGGTCATCAAGGCCAAGGCGCTGGAGTTCATGCGCGCGTGAGCTCCCAGCCAGGAGTTCATCATTGCAGGTGTTATAAGTTGGTTTCAGGCTGCCGTGGGAGTGCGGCCGATGACTTTTCACGCGTCGGCGTGAAACTTAACACGTTGGTGCCCATGGTCGGCAACCCACCATGAGGGCACAGGTCGGGAAACATGATATACCTTACCATAGGTCATCATCATCGCCATCGCCACGTACATCACCAGCATAGCCACTACCACCACCATTCCAGTCACTAGCATCACCATCGCCATCATCATCAGTTTTACCATCACCACCACCAGCATCACCATGATAGTCACCATCATCACCATCACCGCCATGATCACCATCAACATCATCACCATCATCGTCACCATCAGCACCGTCAGCATCATCCAAGACACCATCAACATCATAATCACAATCATCACCGTCATAGTCACCATCATCACCGTCACCATCATAAGTGCCATCATAAGTATGCTGCTATACACCCTCCCGTCCATTTTCCGTGTGTCTGGGTCGTAACACTTGATGCTAGCTGTTCCTTTCACGCCTGATGCTAGTATAGTCACTTGCATCATCCTCGTCACCATCACCACCGTCCTTGCACCAATGATGCTGCTATTATACACCCTCCCGTCCAGTTTCCCTCCTCGTAAGTCCATGTTCCCATTTCGCGCATTCCGACCGATGCGGGGCGATCCTCAGGGATGATAAAGGGGCGTTTCGATTTATTGGGGGCACGCCTTGAAACAACGCGCGGGGGCAATAACATAAATCATGCATATGTGGAGTTCGTCGAGTTTTGTACCCCGCGGGTTTCGTCGGGGCTGTGGGGAGGCAGGAATGTCGATCAACGCTCCCGCGAAACAAATCAGGCCACCGAGGTGTTGATCTTGTGTGCCACCCTCGTGGGAGGAACCTTTGGCTGGGCGACCTTTGGGCCCACCAGGGGCTCTCAGAGCCACCAGCGGGCGACCATCTCAAAACCATCTCTGGTGGTTCCTGGCTTTGCTAGGATCCCGTGCTTCTAAGCAAGATTCCCAACCTCCGTCCCTGGACGTCGACGATTCTCCCTGCGACCAGGAGGGGGGCAGAGCCCCCCTCGCCAATGCTGCAAGAAGCCCCACTGAGGCACACTGCAGGCAGACAGACAAGGGACTACGGGCACCCATGTCTCAAGAGAGAGCGCGAGACAACAGCAAAGAAGGGCTACCTTATGCCACCTCGCGTCCGAGTCACCAATCCGGCCGGACCGTGGGAAGCTTGCGTAGCTCAGGTAGCCGAGGGTCCTTAAGCGACGCGGGGCGGAAGGCAACGGCCTTCTTGACCCTCGCCTTCCGTCTCTTGCATAAAAGGAATTCGAGGTGCAGCAGCGTCCAGTGGATGCGCCAGGGTTTGAGAAACGGTTTGGCGACGGCCGCCACCCTAGCCCCCATCTTAGAATAGAGCAAAATCACGAGGAGCGTGCAGCGGCGCCCAGCCTTGTGGGCACCCTTCTGGCTGCCCGTCAATACGTCCGTCAGGACAGGAAGAAGGTGTACAAGCACGCGCGCAACTCCCCATTCCGCAATGAACGATCTCTCAATGTCGTTTGCGCATTGCCACGATGTGGTTGTGGAATTAGCCAGCATGGAAAAGAAGTAAAGGCAGAACAGAACATTGAAACGCCCAATGCCTTTGAAGGATCCAAAGAACTCGGCCCAGGAGCCCTCCCTAGCTGGAAATCCGCCCGACTTGGCGGGTCTCCCGGCGTCGCTTCCTGCAGCGGCCGTCCCAGCTGATCCTGGGCCACCCAGACCTCCAGAAGCAGGAATTGCAGAAGAATGTCTCTGGGCCGTGAAGCTTGTAGTCGAAAGCCCCCGCAATCGGCGCCCCTGTGTCGCCGTCTTCGAGGAGGGCACATTCCTCCAGCAGGCGGACAGAGGTCTTGTCGAGGTCGAAAGCCGCTTGGCCTGTCCGACGTGTAAAACAACCTTCGTGGAATCTGCCGCTCGAATCGACTGCTCTGCCAGTGCCACACGATCTGTCGAAATGGGCCTCTACGCTGTCAAGGATGTGCTTTTCGGGCTCCGTCGCGACGTCCGCGTTGACAGCCTCCAAGATAGGCCTGACGTGCGTGTTGGCACATGTCCCACACAGAGCCAAAGTCCTGTGGCCGAAGCGCGCTCTTCAGAATGAGGAGCAAGTATGGGAGAGACCCACGGCGTCGACAGGCACCGGCCTCGCCTCGGGCCGCGCGTAACACTGTTGGACCCAGTCGCTCCGGAGAAAGAGGGTGAATCTCATCGGAAAAAAACATAAGAAACTATTCTTGCCTGCTGCCTCTGTGCCAACAGCCGCTCTCTTCCTGGCCGTTTGCTTAGGTGCTTCCAGGTGCGCAGCCTCGGGGGGCCTTTTGGCTGCGCGTCGAAGCGGCGTGCCACCGACGGCGCTGGCCACGGCACCTGGGCCGAGGCGCCGCGGCGGCCCCCCTACTATTAGAGGCTCGTCATCGCTGCCCGACGTCGCTGCTGCCCAGCGGCGGCGCCCCCGGCCACGCTCCCCCCCCCGCTGGCGGCGCAGCGGACGGACAGGCGGACGAGGCGATGAAATGCGTGGGGTTGGCAACAAGACACACAACATATACGCGTGCAATGCATATTGGAGAATCAAGGCAGAGCCACCCCAACAGCATCAGCATCAGCAGCAGCAGCAGCAGCAGCAGCAGCAGCAGCAACAGCAGCAACACCAGCAGCCAAGAGAGGAGGCCGGGGACGAGGAGGAGGAGGAGGAGGAGGAGGAGGAGGAGGAGGAGGAGGAGGAGGAGGAGGAGGAGGAGGAGGAGGAGGAGGAGGAGGAGGAGGGAGGGAGGGGGGGGAGGAGGATGAGGAGGAGGAGGAGGAGGAGGAGGAGGAGGAGGAGGAGGAGGAGGGAGGAGGAGAGGAGGAGGAGGAGGAGGAGGAGGAGGAGGAGGAGGAGGAGGAGGAGGAGAGAGGAGAGGAGAGGAGGAGGAGGAGGAGGAGGAGGAGGAGGAGGAGGAGGGGAGGAGGAGGAGGAGGAGGAGGAGGAGGAGGAGGAGGAGGAGGAGGAGGAGGAGGAGGAGGAGGAGGAGGAGGAGGAGGAGGAGGAGGAGGAGGTGGAGGAGAGGAGGAGCGAGGAGGAGGAGGAGGAGGAGGAGGAGAGGAGGAGGAGGAGGAGGAGGAGGAGGAGGAGGTGGAGGAGGAGGAGGAGGAGGAGGAGGAGGAGGAGGAGGAGGAGGAGGGGGAGGCACCTGGATGGGGCTAGCTCCAGACGGCACTCCCCCTCGGCGACCCACGAGGGCGCCGACGGACAGGCCCCCTGCAGGAGAAGAAGCCCGCGTGAGGAACACAAGCAGCAAGAGGAACACAGTCATATGGAGCCGAGTAACAAGATACCCATGCAGCTGTCCGGCGAAGCGCATATCAGCGTGCGCCGAGCACGCACGCGCACACAGCACACCCCACCACACACAACACACGCCACCCCGCTTGAGCGTGCTTGCGCGCTTGCTTGTGTGCGCCGCGACAGCCTCGCCGAGCCAAGATGGAACGTGAAAAACAGAAAGCAGCATCAAGTGCACCTGTCAAATTCACACCGACCCTTGCTGCAAAACCGCATCGAAACGCAAGTGTGCCCATGCAGGCAGGCAGGGTGGGGGGGGGCAGGGCGGAGCAGGAGGGACAGGACAGGCAAACAGGAGAGACAGCGAGGCAGGGAGACGAGACCGGTGGAGGAGGAGCAGGAGCAGAAGCAGGAGCAGGAGCAGAAGCAGGAGCAGGTGCCCCTGTCCAAATCACACCGGCCCTCGCTGCACAGCCGCCCTGACCCGCACTTCCCTCCTCGCTGCCCCCCAGGAACACGCAAGTTTTCAGAGCGCAACGTCTGCTCCACGCCCCCTCCCGGGTCAGCCAAGCGCTGCCCGACAGACGGGCGGCATAAGCAGGCTTGCAGCAGGTGAGCGGGACCCTTCCCCCGCGAACGCCCTCGAGGGACGCCGCCGGACAACGGACCGCTCAAGCAGAGAGACGCAACAAAGGACAACAAAAAAGAGACAGGCAGCACGGTGGGTGGCGTTGGCGGCACTGGCAGCAGAAGCAGGAGGAGCGGCGGCAGCAGGAGGGGGGGACAACAACTACCACGACGACGACGACGACGACGACGACGACGACGACGACGACGACGACGACGACGACGACGACGACGACGACCCCGACGACGACGAGGCGCCAACCGCGGCGGCGACGACCAACAAGCAGGGACCCAGGGCGGCCACGGACGGCGCTGCCCCCCAAGACTCTTGATAGCCTCGACGGCCAGCCCCCCCGTGAGCCGGCCGTGCACTGCATGAGCAGTCGGGGCATACTGCATTCATTCTCCTTTACGGCGGCCAGCAAGCTTGCGGACCCTGGACGCTACGACGTGCAGCGGTGTGGGTTCACAACGGTCGGAAGT